TTTTTCATACCCCCCCCCCCCCCCCCGAAATTGCTGGCTACGAGCTGAAACATGTACTCATTAAATTATCTTCAAACCATTTTATAACTGTGAACAAGATATTTTGATCGTATTTTGATGTCTTATAAACAGGCGTTATTATTACAATTATAAAATGTACCTACCTAATACTAAACGAGCTTTTTCTGAGGGCAAATAGCCTTCCATTGCATTTTTCTTATGCTTAATTCTTATCGTTTAAGCAAGAGACATTCGGTGCACTTCAAAACTACCATCACACCGGAAAGTAGTCCGATTTTCACTGTCCGATACTTGTAGTTCCCGGTAATATTGCGACATATTTAACATTTATATTTATCCATTTTTGATATGGATATATATTCATATAAATATGCATACATTTACTTTCTTCGTTGAAATATGATATATTTCGATACTTGGTCCTAAATACTTAAAATTTCGGTTTTAATATATCATCAGTGGAAAGCGCGGGTTATGTCGCAAATCCGCAAATAGGTCAACTTAAAAACGGCACTGCCTGGCATCCGTTAGACCCAACGAATGGATTATGTAGCAGTCTATCAGTATCTTTGCTCTTCGATGATATCTGATGGAATTCAGAACCACTGCTAGGCATGGTTATGGTGTGAAATTTTCTCCCTACTTTCCGCATAGACTGGCTATTTCTACGTCTCAACATTTTGGCATAGCTGGTAGGTCCACCCACGTAAGCTAAAATAATAATAATAATAATAATACATTTATTTTAAGTCTAAACTCCATATGAATATGTTCGTTAGACTTTACAAATATGTACATACACATAACAAATATACAACTGGTCAAAACACGCTGTGTACATAATCTCGCCTCCCTGGGGAGGATACAGCCCCGCTGCCGTGTGAGGCGCTGAGTGCTATCAAACTTACCATATCGTTCTCTGCCTGACCAGGACCCTGCTTCAACCCCAAAGTGCTGAGTGCCAAGCGGGGAGACAGCAGGTACCGTTTATAAAGGACTGGTATGTCCCCGGACGGGTTTTGAACCCCCGTCCTCCCGCTCCGGAGGCGGACATTCTAACCACAAGGCCATCCGGTCAGTTTAACATTACTGAAAACATAAATTGTATGAACCTACCAGCACCTTGCAACATCCCATAAACATATTGTGGCAGTACCACAGCTCTGTCAATTCTGATTTAAATTTTTTTAACCTTAATAATTTTTTTCTTTCACAATAATTTTAACACTTACTGTTTATAAAACAAAAAAAAAATTGTAAGCATAGATTATGGTATTGCCATGGGCATGTAGAAGTTTTGTGAATATTTTGGTCTTCAATTTCGTAACCTTTAAATTTTTTTCCTTCATGGTAATTTTGGCATGCATTGTTTTAAATATTATAAAATATAAAAAATAAAATGATAAACATAGATTGTGGCAGCATGTAGCAATTTTGTGAAATCTGGTTTTAAATTTCTTTATCTTCAAAGTCTTTTTTTCAGGATAATTTCAACACATACTACTACTGTTCATATCATTGTTGTTCATATTTGTCAGTGAAGAAGTATATGCACAAAAGGTGCTGAACATCAATAATAATTATAATTTATTCAGTCTATATGTACAAAATATATCTCAGAAATGTGAATACTGACAGAGCTCTTAAAAGTGATACATGAGTAAAAATAAATAAAATATTAATGATAATAATAAAATCCTGAAGTTTGAGATATGAAAAATAAAACCTGCATGGATGTAGAATTTAAAACATTTACTTTATAGGATTTAAATAATTTTAACTCTACTTCATTCAAGTATTCTGGTAGGATAGTAGTATTTGTGCATAAAACCATTCCTTCATTACAATAGAAGAACAAAACAAATACATACTTTTACACATAAGCAGTGATTAATGGATGCATTAGTATGATTAAGTGTCAATTCTATGAAACCATATCTTTTCTAGTATGAATACTTTTGTCTTAACCATGCTTTGGTGACAAAGTGTGCAAGTTAAAGAGCTTATTGCTGTAGTTCCTGGGGTATAAGGATACATGACTGTGCCACTCAGGATTAGGTCTCCAGATTCAATCACACAGAGTTCCTTTTGTACAATGCTTATCTGATCAAATGATGGATGATCTGGGCATTGTCGTGGCACTTTCAATTTGCCAAACTGCAAAAAACATGGATGATAGCTCACTACCTATTTGGCTATACCTTTGCTAAACAAGTTTTAATGCTCTACTGGCATATTACATGGTATGAAGTGTGCCATCCTCTTCTACCTGCATAAGTATATAGTGCAGAGACCTACAGGGCTGGCGTTCACATGTACCAGTAGCTCAGCTGGATATGATGGGTTGAAGTAATGTAGTACTTTTGCTTGGGTGAGTACTGCTTTCAGTGCATCAAATGCTGATTGATGTCTTGGTGACCACTGCCAAGGAACATCTTTCTTGGTTAACTCCCAGAGATCGTGCATGATACTTGCATAAATGCAGCTAAAATGTGTGAGCCATAGTAATTAGCAATATTCTAAGACAGGAAAGTGGCATTCTCCCTTTAGACTGCGATTGGCAAAACATTCTTCTGTTGTTCTGTGTAAGCTGTCTTGCTAATCTTACCATTTCTTGTCCTCATTGTTCATGAGTAGCGTGTCAATTTTTCTGTGTGAATAACAGATTTCTTGTGGATGTCATGGTCTCTGTCAAGCAATTCTGACTTGTTGGATTTGCTTGAAATACTTAATTTTTTAAGGAAAAAATTTTGTATGTTTTACATTTTTCTTTGATTTCAATGTGAATATTTTATTTTAGAAGAAAACAAATGTCCAATTGCAACAACAACAACTGTCATTTCAAAGGATTGATTTTAACTTAGAACATGGGCATGCAGAGTCATTGGACTTCATCGACACAACTTGTGCTACCTGGCTGAAGTGATTGTTAATATTATTTGAACTTGGATTCACACAGGCGGCATAGTTAATGAAGCATGAACATGGCAACTCTTAATTACCCAATTTTTGTGGTTAACTTTTGGCTCTAGTCATGCTACACTAGTTGCAATTAATTTGATTAAGTCATCCAAAAATATCTTATGTTACTGTTCACCTGACATGTAGTCTAATCAAGTGAGTGCAAACTTGACATGTGTAAGATAAAAAATTTTAAGTAATCAGATTGAGACTAATCGTTCCGTCTGACTGGCAGTCTTTTTTATCAAGTGTCAGAGCTGTTGACGATTATTGTTTTATGTACAGTCTGTCTGTCTGTCTGTGTCATCACATTTGCTGTCGCTGACCAACACATGATGTTCGCCCCATAACTGCCAAACTGTTTTTTGTTTTACTTTAAATTTACTGAATTGAGCAGGTTGCTTTCAAAAATGGGCATGATCCATTCACATTTACGGGAATTAATCTGGTTATTTGCAAAATTTTGGAGATGTTTGTCCATTAACTTCCAAATTTTTGGCTTTGTTTGGTAAAGAGGCAGGTTGGTTTCAAAAATCGGCATGATTGGCTTACATTTACAGTAATTATTCAGGTTTTTTTTTTTTTTTTTCAATATTTTAATTTTTACACATTAGCATTTTCAGTGGCTTTTATAGCCCATGAAACTGACTTACTTTTTTAAAGTGATAACTCTTCGTATGAGATCTATATTTCACAATAAATACATTGTAAACAACTCATAGAAATATAATATATTCTATTTTACCACAAAAACGATAGTAATAGCAATAAATCTGAAATATGTGCTTGCCGTCCGACCACATGACCTCCATAGATGGCTATACTCTGTAATAATCTCTTAAGAGATAATTACAAAAAACAAACTTTTTAGAAAAAAAACAGGGACTAACTTTGTATGTAGAAATGGATTCATTAACCATTGTTAAGTATGGGAAAATTGCTGTTTACCTCAGGAAAATTCATTTTTGGCCAAAATGAACAGTTGTTATCCCTTTAATCTCCATGTTACTTGTAGTACATAATGTAAGAGGGTAAGAGTTATAATGCTGTTTTAAGGCATTATGTAATATTGCATCAAAATTGGCCAAAACATTATTTGGTGCACTCTTTTCTGCATCTGAATGTCTGAACATTTTTAAAAATAAAATTAAGTTGGTTATTGTGTTTTATGTAATAAGTGCTGAAAATGAAAATAGTACATTTCAGTACTTGTGCACATATTGGCATTTTCAGGGTTTGAATTTGAATTTCCTTGGGACTGAAGACCTTTACTAGTCACATTTTCTAGATGTCTGTATTACTGCAGTGCTTAATTTTACATTGATGGTGATTATAAGCTGTTAAGCATTGTGTAACATTGCATCAAAATTGAAAAAAAAATTCTGTGTACTGTGAAATGCTCTTTAAGGAAAACTTGGTTACTTCTTATTTTGAAACCTACAAGAATGATTGACATACAGCACAATTTGGTGAACCAGCTTGACTGGATTATTTTTCTTTCTTGTTGTCCGTACATATGACAGCTTTACTGCCTTGTTTTTCTGCTTATTATTATTTTTATTTCATGAAGGATAAAGGGTCTTTTATAATAAGTTGAATCAAATGCAGTGTTGATTACTTCTTCAGGTTGTGGTACTTTGTTCCTGGTTGATTTTCTTCCCAGTGGTCCACAGCTTCTGAGAACCTATGACTGGAATGATGGACTCTTTGACGTGACATGGGCAGAGAATAATGAAAACATCGCTGTAACAGCTTCAGGAGATGGTGGAATACAAATCTGGGATGTTGCACAGCAAAGAGTGAGTTAAATAATTTTAAAAATTGCTCACAGCAAACAATTTAAAGTCTGTTACACAAAAATGTAAGTAAATACCACACATTAAAATGAATGCGTGAACAGTGTAGTTAAGTACATGGATTGCTTCTTGTTAAAATTATTTGAGGACAATTAAAAGTTTTAAATTTTACTTAGTGGTTGTGTATGTGTGTAGACATTTATGGGAAGTGCAGTCCTCTGAGTGATTTGATTGAAAAGCTTTTCAGACCTACTTGCCTTCCAGGCAAGTGCCTCAAAAAGTTTTATGTCAAGCCCTGGTCAATACAAGCATTTCTGCCAGTTTGTTGAACAGTATAGGAGAGGGGATACACACAACAAATTTTCTATTCCAGTGATCTATTTTTTTCTGTTTGGTTTCTTTACAAGTTTTAAAACTGTTTTTAATTTCCATTACAGGGTCCAATTATGGATTACAAAGAACACACCCAAGAGGTAATAACATAGTTCAAACAATATCAGTGAAAAGCTGCACTGTCATGCTTTTCACCAGAGAATCGGTGTGAGATAGCGATCGGTAGTGTTACTGAGGTGCACAATAGTGTCCTCATTAGGGATTTCAATAACAGAACAAGAGAAGCAAGGAGCTGCAGTAAAGATTGCCATTATTGCTTTCTTGGTTTACTTTTTTGATTGCCAGACTATCCTCCATGAATGAAGTCCCTTGAACAAATATGAAAAACTGCTTTCTCATCTTGCTCGAATGGCTTTATGATCTCACACTGATGATCTCACTGGGATCGCTGTTGATCTCACACTGATGATCTTCCGCTAACAAGGTCCCTTGAACAAATATGCAAATTGCCTTCTAGGTGAAGGTAATCTGGTCGAGGTAGATGCTAATGGCCGGCTGTCTCTACCTTCATTCCCTTTCTGAATGCCAGGATCCTTTTTGAGAAACGACACTAGTTTCTGGCTGCCAGAATTGCTTTTGAAGAATGACACTGGTGATTATGGTGCTGTTTTGCATCCTTAGCCTACAGTACCGATTGTTATCAAGCACCTTGAGCCATACACATGGTGATGAGGTGAAAGTATGTGTGTCCCTTGGGTCGCAATTACCGACACTCACTTTTTATACAATATGGTAACTGACACAGAGATCGTCAAGAAAAGATAACATAGGGCTTAGCGACAAACAGACAATTCTTTGTCAAAAATGATAGGCTTTAATAAATTTGAACATATGGAATTTCTGAATACCTCTTATTTCATGAATTTTCGACCAAAACAATCTTTTCCTTATTTTAATTAATTCATGGCCCATTACCATAATATGTGTACAGTTTAATTGAAAAAAAAAGAATGCAATATGTCAGCACAGTTACTGATTTTGATATTTTTTCTGGGGGTCAATTATTTTGCCAGTACATGCAGTTATACTAGTATACTTTTACATTTTTGGGAGGAGGGGGTGGGCTTAAACTATAATACAAATATATGGCAAAAGGTATTAGTTGAAACATGCCTATTATGGTGACTTTTGATGAACTTATCCTTTATTCTTTTTAATGGAAGTAAAATGCCATACCTCTCAAAATACAAAGTCAGATCAGAACTAGCTTATTAGTATAATCTTATCATGTCTGTCATCAGTGCATAAGGTAGGATCAGATTATAAGCATTTTAATTATCAACTTTCAAGATCACATGAGGGGCATTAAGTGTTTGAAATGCTACATGAAAATTTTACATGACACAAACATGTAGAAGTATTTTAGTAATAAGTTTTTCTTTTATTTAACAAGTTGATATTGTTTGTTTCAATATTGTTATAAGAATGTATTTTACTCCAAAGCCCCCCTCCCTTCCCACTGCCGTCACATAGCTTTTCAGGATTATCATTTTCCCATGAGTTTTTAGAACTGTCACCCATGCAAACCTTTTACTTGCATGTACAGTGTATATGTTAAGCCTCTCACCACCATAAGTCAGGGTGTACATGTATTGTACTTTTTTTTTTCTAGGTTCACAGTGTTGACTGGAGCCAGACTAGATCAGAGCACCTGGTGCTGAGTGCATCCTGGGACAAAACAATCAAACTGGTGAGAACCTTGGTCTATGTACATGTTGAAAACTGATTATTGTATCACTAGTGTGGTGCTGGCAGAGCACATGGTTTTAGTCCCAACCGGTATTGTCTGCCGGCTCTGCTGCCACATCACCGTTACTGCTTCTCCTTCAAGACTACAACAGCCCATGTATCCATCTCTTGTATGTACCGTGTAGCTATTTAGTCCCCGGTCACTTTAATAGCACACGCACGGCGACCGTGCGTGTGCCCCCGACAGTGATAATGATAGGGGGATTACGATAGACAGCGCAAGTCGCTCACAGCGGGAGTCACTATCGCCGCTGTTAGGCCGGTAATTAAGTCTTTAACTTGACTAAACATGTTTCGCTTTGTAACTTGCGTCCTTCAGTCTTGCTGTTGCGGAAGCGCCGGCGAGAAATATCTCCACCTTGCCGATATTTATCCCGACTCCCGACTTGAAAAGTAAAATTGGTTTTGATTTTATCAAAGTCTTATTGTATCAGAAAACCTGCATATTTTCATACGTTAAGAGAATTATAGAAACTGTAAAAAAGCTACTCGTACATCAGGGATAGAAAACAAGACCTTGCAGCACTATAATCTATTTTTCATCACCAGAAGTTCCTGTTTCACTTTTTTCTCCCAAATTACAAAGTCTGGTGACAACTGAAAGGTTTTAGCCATTATACCTCAGGGTAGTGAGAGAGTTGATTAAAAGTAATAAAATTATATATTTTGAAGAATTTTCCTAGCCTTCGGCAATTTCCGCAAAGCTTCGGCATGCGCGGCAATACAGATCTGTCGATATCGGTGTGAAAGTGTAATAGCACTGGTGGAATAACGGTTAACGTCGTTGCAAACGTTGTAACCTACCCGACGGGAGTTCGTACCCCACAGGTACTATTNGTGCGTAACACACATTGTCTTCTAACATGCGGCTACACGTCGGTTGCATTGTATTAATAAAGTAATACCTATTCATAAGGAAGGGGGCGGATGGTAATCTGACGAGTATTAAATCAGTTATCGATTAAACGCGTACCAGTAGTCTTGTTTTTTATTGGCTATACGGTAGGTCACAAATAATCTCAACTTGATCCATGGGAAATGTAGGCTTTGTCGATGCTCGGGTCTAGGTGTGGCCATTGTAGCAATTCACCCTTGGCCAATAGTTGCAAAGTTAAATGTTAAATATCTCCCAAACCGACGGAACTATGAGAAAATTTTCATTGGTGGCTGCCCGAAAGTAATATGTGGAGATTTCAAATATGCCCTTGGATTTGATTTTCTAAAAATCTGAATTTTTTGCAAAAAATAAATTATTTGTGCTGGTTTTCAGAAAGTACACAGACCTAAGCTTTTGTATTTTACTAAGGAATTACAATAAGGGACTTCTTTCATCTTCAGGAGTTTGGGGTCAATCAGTGCACTTTCACGGGAGAAGCAGCAACAAGTCGCCTAGAGTAAAAACTCTCACTAATTCTGAGATACACCTATAGTTACTATTGAACTTGAATAGGAATTAGGAATCAATATTCAATATGAAGTTGGCCGTACCTAATAGCAAGCTATAGATTTAAAAATTAATTGCCTTCCATGTACTTCTCAACTTTCTCAAAGCTCTCTATAGTTAATAAGTTTTTAATTGAGCCAACCATGGGGTCAGAACAGCAGGCAACATATAACAGTTTCCTTGGTCAGAAAAAAGTAATCCTAGAATCTGCACATGCATAGGAATAGAAGCAAACACAGGTAGTCATGTGCTCATTGGCCAAAAGTACATAGGTCAAATCAGAATAAACGTAGGTCATATGATAAAAAAAAATAGCTTACATTCGTGCATAGGGCACATATGGTCATGATATCCTCATTTAATACAAACAATCCATGTGACTTTATGAATTTCAGTTTTTGTTAGCCGATGTTTACAGATGATTCTTTTCAATGTATTATGTTTTTGTTTTTTCCAACATATATTATACCCTCTACCAGGGCCACAGATTGATTTTTCACTAGATATTTTAATATTTCACTAGATATCTTAAAAGAGATAAGTCTCTTGTTAAATAGATGGCTAATCTCTGTACTACGCCTCAGCAAAAATGTCCACAATAATAACTACAGCCCTTGTGAGGGTACATATATTATACCATATGCAATACAGAAAACACATTTCAAGGAAAACAAAGAGGCTTATTGACTTAAAACTTACAGGTGTCATCAATATTACTAACATACAGGTTGACTTCAAAAATCAGGTTAATTGGACTTTTTTTTATGTACAGGCACAGAGGACACACCATGCACTTTCAGTAATATCACAGTGCAAAGTGCAAAACTGTTTTACCTTTTAAGGAACTGATGAATATCCATAAGATACAGCTTGATCAGGCCTAAACGTTATGCTGGTTTTTTGCTTTTTTCAGCTTATGTGCATTACTGAAAACACATAAAGTGGAAAACGGGTTGACATTTTATCTTCAAAGTTACAGGAGTGATCAGTATTACTAAAATACAGTTTAAGTTTGAAAACCAGCCTGATTGGGCTATTTTTTGTGAAATTATGTAGTTTTTTCAAACGTTCATTTTTCACATTTTGGCATTTTCAAGCTGTGATTTCTATGGGCCTAAATGCCTTTTAAGTCACATTTTCCAAATACCTACATTACCTGCCGTGCATAAATAAAGATTGGTGGTGATTATGCTGTTAAGCATTATGTAATATTGCATTAAAATTGTAGAAAATCCTATTTTGGTTCTTCTGCCATATTGAGCATAAAAGGAAAACAATCTAATGTTACTTATGATTCCCAAACTTACTGAAAAGCTTTATAGGACATAAATGCAGCTTGAGTTGGAAAACCAGTCTGCTTGCATTCTTTTTCTGGAAGTTATGCAGTTCCTTGTGAATTTTTTATTTTTCAGATATTGGCATTTTCAATGTGGAACTAAGAGCTCCCACAGACATGAAGTGGAATTTAAGTTTCATTTTCTGAATGTCCATGTTAAGTGTAGTAAATGATAAAAAATGGCTATGATAATGCTGTTAATCATTATGAAATATTGCATCAAAATTGACAAAAAACCCTACTTTGTGCAATACCACCACAATTGCTATGAAAGGAAAATTGTGTTACTTATTATTCTGAAAATAAAAAGTATATTTCTTCGCATTGACGTACAGCTCAAATCAGAAAACCAGTTTTATTGGAATTTTTTTTCTTGAATTTGCAATTTTTTGTGAAATTTTCATGTTTCATTCTGGCATTTTCAAAGTCCGAAGTCTATGCTAGTTACATACACTATAGCTAATAAGTCCCCGGTCACTTTAATAGCACATGCTGTCTACATCTGACGCGCTAGTGCGCACGTCCCCGACAGTGTTAATGATAGGGGGATTACGATGGACAGCGCAAGTTGCTCACAGCGGTAGGCACTGCCGCCGAAGTTAAACCGGTAATTAAGTCATTTACTTAACCAAACATGTTAAGCTTCGTGTCACGCGTCTTTCAATCTTGCTCTTGCGAAAGTCGCGTCGGATGTCGATATTTTTTCCAACAATTTTTCGAACTGTGGGGCAAAACGTCGTAATGCCTGATATTTTTTAATTTCTCATTTACCTTATTGTGGAGTCTCTTACGTTTGTACCACATGTATTCTTGATAGCGGGAATACTGTATTTCTGATGGAATTCTAACTTGATGTGGGACCTTGGGCTTAACGTAAATGCTAACCAAAATAAAAAAAAGGTAAAAGTGCAAAGCGACATGTAAGAGTAGATGGCAATTAGTAATTTCGTAAGCAGTTTCTACCACACTAGTACTTTGATAATACTGCGTCCTAGGATAGGATATTGAAGGGTTGCCTACAGATAAACCATTAAAAAGACCTTAGAAATTATTGTACATTGTAGGGAAAATTTTAACGGATATCGGTGCTGCTTTGATAAATGGTTCCGATGTTGGGAATATTTAGATATTTGAACTTTCTAGGAATACTTATCTATGATAATCGTAAATCGATTAAAAAACATAAACAAATTGCAAGACTCAGCAAGGTCTTATTATGGATCTTGGGATCATTTTATGTTAAACAAAAACTTCAAAAATGTTACCGCTCGGTGATTAAGCGTGCGTTGTCAGTATTTCGATCGCGTATTTGCATTGGAAAGATTCAAGCATTAGCAAATTTGTCAGAAAGATGAGAGCTTACACAGTAAAGTCAACCATAGGTGTCCAAAGTTATCAACAACACAAACACGTCCCGCACTGACAAAACATATATTTAATTTAGTATTAATCCATGAATTGATTTTATTTTTTAAACAACGTCAGATAATTAATTTAAGTTTTACCTTTAACCTTACAACAACACCTACGGTATTTTAAAACATTAATTGAGCATGAGTTTGATTTTAAAGACATCTATAATAATCTAAAAGCCCGAAGCCTGTCCTTGGCGTTCAATCACCACTGGCAATACTTTCCTAAGGTGGCCAGTGTATTTTTTACATTTCTCATTGTCAACATTTCGCCAAAAGTCTCTTAGTCCGCAATCAACTCGTCTTTTCTTTTAGGTTTGGTATGCTTTCTTAAGTAGTGTTTCATCTCAGCCCAGAGCAGTTCAATCGGGTTAAGGTCTGGGCTTTCAGGGGGGTCTTCACCCAGAAGACGCCATTCTCTTGTAGAAACTCCTTGGTCAAACGGCTTGTGTGTGTAGGGGCTTTGTCCTGGAAGAAACGGTGGCCTTCAGGAAGAGTTTCGCTGAGAAAGGGGAGGAGGAAGTCTTTCAAAATTCCAACATAGAATTCTGCATTCATGCGCCCTGAAAAGATTGCCAGTTTGGTAGCTCCCCTTTTAGATATCTCTGAAAAAATGAAAAGCTGTGTATAAATATATAATATAAACATAATCTGTAACGTTTTACTTTGCCAAAGTACATTTACCAGGTAATTACTCTATTGCCACCCACGTGAATAATTAATATTGGACTGGGATTATGAATTGGTTCTTAGATATATATAATATAAACATAATCTGTAACGTTTTACTTTGCCAAAGTACATTTACCAGGTAATTACTCTATTGCCACCCACGTGAATAATTAATATTGGACTGGGATTATGAATTGGTTCTTAGATATTATATTATATTATATTACAACTGGTAACGGTGACAATCCAAATAAATTACTCGACTGTCACTTAAAGCTTTTATCATAAACAATTAAGCGAGACATCGACATTATTTGAAATTATATTAAAACGTGAATATCAGTACAAGACATGTGCCGTACCTGCCCACACGTGCAATTTGAAGGGATGCTTGGCTTTTGGTCACAGTGGTGCTGGTTGGCCAACTTCTCTTCCGTCTGCATCGTAGACCACCTTTCGGAAAACTATCTTTCCATGCGCGTCCATCTGAATGGTGCATTCATCTAAAACAGATATAAACCAATTAGTGCTGTATATAAATTTAAATTTACAGAATCCTTATACCTCTTTTCATTGAAAAACTACAAGCATTGTTTAAAAAGAAACTACTGCTAATGATATAGCTTACTACTTTATTTATGCTGCGATGACACGAAAAATCTTTAAATTTTAAAAACCTAAAAATTCATTTGCGGTATATAGTGCTCACAGTCTACCCCGCGGCGTAATTAACTAGCAGAGCGAGCGAGTTACTTCCTAAGCTGTAATTATATCTCGGCTGAGCTCGGAGGAAATTCTGATACCTGGATGCATTTTGGTAATCACGCTTTGATATACAACAAAACCATAAATGATATCATTTACTCAGTTAAAGATTTTAAACCAATTTTTGGACCAACCTGAAAACACCACATCTTCAAACTGGTCATGTATTGCCAAGGCCTGTCTGCACCATTCTGCACGTTTTGGTCTATTGGATATCCTAACCAACTGGCAGTACCGCTTTCCACTTTCCACTTTTGATCCACCCCAGTTTCTTCCTCATCTTTTTCACTGCAGCGACGCATACGTTGAGACCTTAAACACAAAAAAATATATATTTAGTAAAAATCACTGTACCAGTTGTACTACGTTGTCCCCTTTTCTACCAGTTCGAAAGTGCAGTACACTTTTACTGAAAATTACATTTTTTCTTTTATAATCAGTGGTCTCATCATTAAAGTGTTGAGGCAAATAGTTAGGTTAAATGAAGCCTCACCTGTACGCTGACGTAACTTTTCTCGCAAATCGATCGCAACAAGCTCAGGATTCTGTTCCATTTCTTCATCGATTATGTCTTTGTGTCTAGCTTCAAACTTGGGAGGCCTGCCGGACCTGGGCCGGTCGCGAAGACCCCACCCTTCCTCCCATCTCTGTAGAAAGGCGTAGGTGCTGCTCCGCGCTACCGAAATCCCCTCGGACGCCAGCTGTTGTCTGATGTTGGCTACTCCTCGAGAGGCATTGTTGATGTGTGTGTGGCATGCTTTGAGTCTCTCTTTTATACCCTCTCAAAAACTTTTACAGGTAAGCCAGACATGCCCGTTTGCAGGCTTTATTAAGGTAATAAATGCCACTTTTACAACATTTACAACACCTCGTAATATTTTATTTTTAATTGATTCATTCCAGTGGGACATCTTCCAAGGTCAAAGATACTCTCTTGCCACATTTTGTGGCCATGAACAGCGGGTGTACAGTGCAATTTGGTCACCACATATTCCAGGTTGTTTTGCATCTGTGTCAGGTATTTCTTGATTTTTAGAACCATTAATCTATAAATCTGTAATGGTCTTGCATAATCATAAGGAAGGTAACAGACATGCTGAAACTGTTTGTCCGATCCGTCATGACAGTCCGATCCGTCATTTGAAATTTACAGTCATCATTCGACATACTTCACTAATAAAATTATATAAAACCCAAAGTGTTTTTTCTCTTTCATTGCAAATCTATCACATTCACAAACAAAGTAAGCTACCCTAATCGTACAGGTAGTATCTGTCTCAAACAAATAGGGTGATTTTAGGTCCGACGAAAACCCATTTGGTTCGGCAAATTTTTCATTATTGCCTGTCCAAATGTCTGGCCATTCTGAAAAGTTTTCAGCATGTCTGAGGTAACATGCAGCATAGGTAAAAGATTATATTTATAGATGTACTCTATTAATGAATATTGCACACATGTGTATTAGCTGCACCCATACTGTTTTTCAGGCTTGAAACTGACAAATAGACTTTGCTATTATGTACAAGCATTAAGTTTGCTTTTCAGTTGTGAAACATAATTTAAACATTACTTCAATAATTGTTTATCTAGGGGACTGCACAATACGTGTATGGGACACACGGAAGTCATACATGGCACAACTTGTGATACCTGCACTTAAATCAGAGGTTTTATCATGCGACTGGTGCAAGTATGATCAGGTAAGTGTATTTGATTACGGCTGTGGTAATGTACCATGTACCATGAATTTTGAACAACTCCTTAATTTCGAACTTAAAATTGGCTGTCTGGAGTTTGCATGGACCATGAATTTCTACCAGTAATCAACTTTGCATGATCTTGATTTTCGTGAATTTCATACAGCTTAAAAGTTGGCCATCAGGCTATTTTTGGGCTCATAAAAATCTAACAGTCGGCATACCTTTGCCTGAGTACTATGTGTGTGCCCCAAGGTGCAAGATAGCAATTGTTTCAGTCAGACATGGCAAAAACTCTGGGGCTAAACTGGACAAAAAACCTACTGGTCCTACCAAACTTTTGCTGTTCCTACTGAATTTTTGAATCAACATTTTCTCTATATATTTCACAGATGTAATGGGGTAAAGTGGCCTTAAAATCATGTTTTTCAGTTTTTAGTGAGTTTATATTTATCAAACAGGTATCAAAATTAGATGTAATAACATTTTATTGAGTTTGCATGGAAAAATGTATTTTGATAAGTTTTTTCAACCGGCATGCACGCCAGTCAGACTGCCAACTAAGCCATGCCTCTGTTGGTAAGGGTCGTTGCCATCAGTGGGTGGAGCAAAGTTAGAGTTAGAAGTGGATTATGTGTGAGGTAACAGGTGATAAGTCTTACATCAGCTAAGCAGTGAATAAGTCTAGTATGCCATGGGCAACAACGGGTGGTCAGCGGGTGGTCAGTCTGTAATTGTCCCTTAAGTAATCACTAGCTAAGTTCAGAGCTATTAAGTCATTTGCCTATTTAAGTTTCAAGTGGCCATTAAATGAGATTACATAATATAGTACACACATGTTGAGATTTCCCTATAAACTTCCATTAGTTTAGTTCTCTGCCAGATACAGTTTAAATTAAGGAATCAGTGAAAATTATGCAGATAAAGTTGTTAAAGAAAAAAAGAATGAAGGACAATAGGTGGACAATCAGGCTTACAGAATGGACCCCAAGGTATGGACAAAGAAAAAGAGGAAGGCCGGTCAAACGATGGAGGGATGAATTAGAGGACTACTGGAAGTCTTGGAAGAAGAAACCTTGGCCAAACTGGAAATCTGAGACTCAGGATAGGAAACAATGGAAAAAGCATGCTGAGGCCTTTGTCCAACAGTGGAACACTACAGGCTCTAAATGATGATGATGATGATGATGATGAAAGTTGTTTAATATTGCAAATAAGTTTACAGAAGAAAAAACTATTTTGTGTAATGCCAACATTAATGCTATAGATGAATAACAGTGCTTTATTATCCTCAAACTCAGTGGGGTTATTCATATCATGTTAATAAACCTGGATTAAAAGTTTGAATTATAGCAACTTTATTGAAATTTTTTTTTCATTTTAACTTTTTTTTTTATTTTTCAAACACTGGCATTTCAACTGTAACTTAACTCCCATCCACCTAAAGCTCTGTACATTTTCTGTTTCCATTATGTAATATTATTTGTGCACTGTCATAATTTTTCACATATTGGGATTTTAATTATGTGAATTTGAACTTTCATGGTCCTGAAACTGTAATCTTATTGACCATTTTACCTGTTGCGCACGATTAAAATTTAGTGTTTATTGACTGTGCTGTTATAAGAATTATTCATTATTGCATCAAAATTGACAGTGACCTATATTCTGCATCTTTATTTTCTGCTTTTTGTCTGTACATTTGCTGCCTTGTTGAAACATTGCTTTTATCAATTTTGTCATTTATATTTCTGGCCATTTGGCAACTTTGCGGCCTTGTTATGTTTTATTTCTTCTGCTTATTGATAATAACTTATCAACAAATTGATTTATCTTAGCAGACTACTTTCATTAACATGTATATATATGTGGTAGTGATATCAGGCTCCTTTATAAAAAGTCTGACTTTATTCTTTTAGTACCTCCTTATCACTGGTTCTGTAGACTGTGGTATACGAGGCTGGGATCTCAGAAAGCCTAGATCACCAGTATTTGATCTCAGGGGGCACAACTATGCCATTAGAAGACTCAAGGTGAGATCGGAATCACATCCCAATAAAATATGATCAGTGCCATTACATGATATTGTGTTTCACACTGTCCTAATAGCATACGGCAGGTATTGTTGCCAAAATTATAAAAATATCTGTTAGTATATGTGCCATTTAAATAAAATCATTTTTGTTAAAAAAAAAAACCCTTGTCACAGATTGTTGAAAATTTTTTTTATTTTCAGCAACAGGACTCATTGACAAATTTAAATATAGAAAAGTGTTCCTTTTTTCCCCACTTAATTGGACTTTTTCTTTTGTTTTTAATTAATTTCTCATCCAAGTTATCACCTATATCTACTTTATTTATTCTGTGTCTGTTTCCATTTTTTAACAGAAAATATACATTGCAGTTAAAGAACCATGCACTTTCGACATGTTTATGTTGTTTTAATTTGTTCAGGAAAGTTAAATTTTTTAGTTCCTTCTTTTTCCTCATGATTGCTCTCTTGACTTTTGTATTTTTAAGTTTAATGATCATTGGTCTTATTGATCCTTGTTTACCAAGAATGTGGTGTATTTCCTGGATGTCATTAGGCTCAATATTCATTTTGCCTCCTTTTTTTGAAATGTCATTGAAAATCTCTCTCAGATTTTCCCCCTCTTTTTCTGCCATGTTTAACACGCTTATATTCATTTTCCTTGAATACTGCTCATTATGGTTGCTAGTGTGCATGGTTTCTTTACATTTTGTTTTAACGTTTCATTCAATTTTTTAATTTCTTGGTCTTTTTTTCTCATGACTTCTTTGAGCTGTTCATTTCCATCTGGAGGCTGTTCACCTGATCTTGCAATTTTGCAGTGCGGGTCTCTGATTCTATCTTTAAGGAATCCAATTATTGTTGGAATTTTTCATCTATTTCAGATGCCATGTTAATAAGACGTCTCTCAACCACCCTTGTTACAGTTACTTCCAAATCTTCTTTTTTGATAGTTTCTTTTATTTCATTTTTTATTTCCGACAGCTCGTGCATCAGTAATTAATTGTAGTTATTCTGCACTGGAATTTGCCACTTCTGAATGTGGTCTTTTAGGGGCTGAAGCTGTTGTATGTGATTTGTTTGGTTTTGTGCTGGTGGTGAGGAACCTAGACATAGTCCTATCACCAGCTTTATTGGGTTTCTGGGCCATTACCTTATTTTAAAGCAGTCTCCTGTCTAAAGGCAATAGGCTGTGTCGTGGTTTATTTCGTGTAAAGTCACATCATCCACGAATGTGTTCCGTGCACCAGTGCACAGAACTAACGAGGTAATAGGACGGTCGCTGGACTTTTAGCACTAAACAACTTAGGAGTTTCAGTAATTATGCAGGGAAAAGATGGACACGTATCAGTAGAATTAGACATTTTCAAGTTTCATAGCATACTTTCTTCAGTAATTCTTTCTTCACGCAAAAAAGAAGATGAAAAGAAATTAGTAGAAATGAAAATTTCAAGTTTCATTTCTTGCAGAAATAATAAATAATAGGTAACTGCAACATAAGTAAGCTTTCAAAGTTTACATTTCCTTCACCTATAGAGTGATTTTCTTTGAATTTTTGACCAAAACAACTTTAACAATTTCTGAAGGAATCTGAATAACTTAAGTTCCAGGAATGGGGTCTTCTCCTCCATGGTCGTGCAACTTTCAGATTCTTCATCAGAATGATACCCAGCTTCGAGCGGCCGATCCTTTAAACATGGGATGGGCCAGTTGGGATGTTTCATGGGGGACTGCCGTTCACTAAACAGATTTACGGCCCAATTAGTAATTGCTTGCATTTTGTTTGGTATTCTGACTGCCAAATTCTGAGACAATTCAGAACTAGCCAACGGCTTTACGAAACTCTCCAGCTGCTCATCTTTAATGTCAACTTTAAAAAGATTTTTTGTTGGAATTTCCATCAATTGAGACAGAGAGATGCCGTTTTCCATTGTTAGTATTGTTACTTCTGCGTTATGTTACCTGCTGAATGACACAGATATTAGGGAGGACGTAATGTTCGTTTTCTTTAGAAACTTTGTTTTCCACAATGAGAGAACCTTACGGTCATCCTTGTGAGAATGAAATATAGATTTTCAACTTTTTCATCAATAAACACAAAATTTGCTTAAACGTCAGCGGTATCTGACACAAGGTAATAGGGACCATTAAGACTCCACTCCAAAACACAGCACGCCACGCATATGTTTGATTTGCCAGTTTCTTCATGCTTATCAGGTGAGCATTATCCATGCCTATGACCAAATCTGTGTTTTGCATGAATAATTGCTAAAAGACAGTCTCGCCAGATGAAGGTAATGTGCTATCTCAAGGAATCTGTTTGCTCGGACACTTACGGTATGTTAGGCACAACTATTGCATTGGAAATCAGATATGCAACAGAATTGTCATCATGAGGCAACATATCGAAAGAAACTAGGGATGAGTGGATCCCTTCACGTCGTCAATAGTGCTTTATTGACATTGCACTTGCCCCGTGCTTCTCAAAGTAAGGTCCAATACCAGTTTCTCAGAAATGAATGTGGATGTTGAGCCACTATTGAGTAGTACTTTTTGTGATGTTCATATATTTAATAGTCATCAAGAAAAGAAGATTGCATGATGTTTTTCAACAGATATCCCTTTATGGTCACCATGACCACCATCTTCATTTCCGTTTCCACTCATTTTATGAAAATTGGCTAAGCTTGGATTGCTTTCATGAATTTTGTTATGATAGTTTCCTATTGACAAAACAAGGTTTCTTTTGAAATTGACTTGTGTATCCAAAGTATGGCCACCTTGGCCACAAGCAGAATTTTGTTCCCACTCATTAATTAAATGTAAAAAGGACTTTATGGATACTTTGGGGGGGGGGGTAAAATGGATGAAGATGGTTTTCTGCCATTACACAATTCCCTGAGTTCAAATAGTACCTGTCATTGTCCAAAGGAACCTACTCATTTGCTCTTGACTTACCCTTTACCACAAAACCTCCTGGGCATTCCAGTATCACCTGGCCTCAACAAACAAGGACAGTTACAGCATCAGGGCAGAGGGGGGGGTTAGATGTTGCTCCCACTGTATGTTTAGAATTAAATCAATTAACATGTTACAAACCTTTTTTGTTTTTGTTTCAGTGTTCACCTTTTCAAGGAAACATCATTGCTTCTGCATCATATGATTTCACAGTTAGGTAATATCATTTCTTTCTGATACATATATGGAGGTACTGCTAGTACATGTGACATATTTTTCTGTGGCCACTCACTAGATAACAAATTCAAGATTTTGTAATGTGGTCTGAAATTATCCAAATATTGAGTATACCTGTCAACAATATTGAGTACTGATAGTTTTTTTTCTGAGGTTTTCTCAGAGCAGCTCAAGGTTTTCATATTCTAGCATGACTGTTTGAATTTTGGTTTGTTCTCATGCATGCTCGCAAGTTAACAAATTACTCTGTGAATTTCCACAGGTGACCCCCTGTCCAGCCCCTTAACAATAGGCCTACACTTGTTTCTTTTCCACACATAAACTTTCATGTCTCAATTAAATAAAAACAGAAGGCAAAAACTTAACTTCTCTCTAGGGGTGCAGTTATACTAAAGTTTAATAATAACTTCATTATATCTTGTTACCAGATGTTTTTCTAGTATCTTACCTGTGGCATCTATTAAATATTGCTTTACTAGTCATCTTCCAAGGAATTTTTTCCAGGTGAGCTATCTGTCACATCAGAATACATGCATTTCAATAATTGTGTTAGAATAGTCACTGTTACAGTACTACTAGTGAAGGTTGCCTAGTCGTCACATAATAGTAAAATTTTATCTATTGGTACCCTTGTAGCAATGTAGACTGTCATACTATACATACAAATGCAGTAGGGATAACACATTTTTTGTAGGATAATATGGATATGAGAAGAAGGAAATTTCTAGGGGAAAGTGTGTGACATTATGTAGCCCTAAAGTGCAAATTCCATCCTTTAATGCTTCTGTCAGTCTTCTCCAGCCTACTTAATCAATTATAAATAATCCCTGCACATATACCGTTATATGTTCCAGCATATAGGGAAAGAAAGGTGTATTCAGTTTTGACCATAAAGCTCCATATCTTTTAGCTGCAATATGAACAAGACCCCTGGAACAAACGATTAATTAGAAGTTATTTTCTCTTTCACCAGAGAAATTTATCACTGTAAATACTGAAAATCACATAAACATATTTTCTCATTTTAAAAGTTGGACTGTATTCATCAAATATTTTGTTTTTGGGTATAGTGCATTTATTAAAATAAAGTGTATGTGCATATGTTTTTGTGTATGTACTAGTGTATATGCACCTGCTGATATAGATTAATGAGAACATGATAGATATATGAATGTAATTTTTTATGTACAAACACTGATGTGTCAGTACATATAGCTGTCACCTGCGTCTGTCATTGCTGTTGCTGTCGTCGCCGTGCACTTTCACTGATAACACACTAAGTGGAAAACTGTTTACCTTTTGGCTTAAAACCTACAGAACTGAAGAATATTCATAAAATGAAGGTCAAGTTCGAAAATCAGCATGATCATTTTTGAAAGTTATGCTGTTTTTGGGGGGTTTTTTCAGCATATATGCAACACTAGTAACACATTTCAAGGAAAACTGATAGGCCTATTGTTTTGAATTTCACAGGAATGATCAATCTTACTAAAATAGAGGTTGAGTTTGAAAGTCAGCTTGATTGGTTTAGTTTTGATGAAGTTATGCCTTTTTTGTATATAAGTAGTTTTTTTCTCATATTTGATTCTTAAAGGGATAATAACTCTTTGTTTTGGCCAAAAAATGAATTTTCCTGGAGGAAACAACAATTTTCCCATACTTACCAATGGTTAATGAATCCATTTCTACATTCAAAGTTAGTCCCTGGTTTTTTTCTAAAAAGTTTGGTTTTTTGTTAAAATCTCTTAAGAGAATATAACAGTTTAGCCATCAATGGAGGTCAGGTGGTCTGAAGACAAGCTCAGATTTCAGAATAATAGCTACAACTCCTTTTTTTGTCGTAAAACAGAATATGTTATATTTCTATGAGTTATTCACAATGTTTTTATTGTGAAATATAGACCTCATACGAAGAGTTATTATCCCTTTAAAGTGCAACTTGGTAGGTAAAAATAAACTGTAGACTATGATGAAAATAAAGCTGACAACCTGACATACATTGCCCACCCTTCGTATTTTGACATTTTACAGACCGTTTCGTTAATTACATAAGACCGTAATATTGCATTTAGAATGTGGGAATCCCCATGGGGTTTCCTGACCTAGATGACCAGAACGAGGCTGTGACGTCATCTAGGGAAGACAATGGCTGAGAGTAGCGATTCTACACGCGAAATTTATCATCAAGATTTGAGTGAAAATGAAAGCTGGTCGGAGACGAATGAGTCGTTTTCCGAAGAAGAGGAGGATGGTATCCTTAGTTTGAGCGAAGTGGGACAAGCTTTGCCGCAGGTGAAGCCCTATGTTTTGGACCCGCCAGCGCCGGATGCAAGCACTAGTAGCAATGCCAGTGCTGCGGAGGGCAGGGAGTGCGTTCGCCGTGAAGACCGACGCAAAACAGATGAATGGTATGTCCGTTTTTTTTTCTAAATAACCTCGTTAGATAGTGGTGAATTACTCAGTAATGGGGCAATTTCGCTGTGCTCTACATGTACACCATGCGCGTTTTGCTGAATGTCTGTTTTACTCTACTTTCCGACTACTACAGTAGTTCACGAATCATAACAGTACATGAACATTCCTCAACACGTACTTATCTGATATTTACGATGTACCAGTACACGACAGATAAATGAAGGGAAGCAATGTTTATTTGAATAGTTTTTTTATTTACGTCAATTGAAGTGGTTCCAGCAGTTACCCAACACTCTGTAGGCAACACATGTAGCTGCCCACATTCCTACAAGAATAAATTAAGCTAAATTCACTATATTTTTTTTTTTCACTTTCAAGTGCAAACAGCCATCGAGTTACACGTGAAATGTGTAACATATACATGTATAAATTCTAGAAATACACATATAAGGTATATAGAATTAGGGTGCATTTAAGTTATGTATTTTTATTTTCAAATACCGCCCATAAACATTACAACTAGCATACAGGCTGGGCAGAGTAATTTTAAGATCTCTTTATATGTTTACACATTGAATACATTCACTGTTAGATGTTAAAATACTTTATTCATGTCCTTTTTTTATGAACATAAATGTACATATTCCTGGTTTATTAACAAAATAAAACAACACAATACGAGGCATTGCTCTCCATATATAAGATAGGCCTACAGTTTAAATATTATTATAACCAAGACTTTAGAGATAAAATTATTTGGTTGGTTTGTGGGTCAATGTGATGTAATGCTCTCCCCTCTGATCAGTGTCTATATAGCCATGAAGTCTGGTGTCCACATGTTGGATTAATTAAGAAGGGAGACTCCCTGTGGTTGCCAGCAAGTGCTTAGTTATAAAAGTAATTTTAGTCTGCAACGATAATTTTGGATCAATTAGAACTGTTAAATTTAATTACAGGTGCACCTGTGGACATTGCCAAATCCTGCCAGGTGCATCAGAAAATATCTGCTGCAATGAAGTGGAAATAGTACAGATGAAGAGCAAAGAGGAGAATGTCCAGTGTATTACTGACCACCCAGGGTTTGAGCCAGTCTGCCTGAACAAGTGGGTACTGGAAACTGCTTGGATGCAGTTCAGGCAGCAATATGGGGGGAAAGCATTTGAAGGACGAGAGGATCAAAGACTGAGGCATATCGCTTATAGGCAATTTGTCCGCTGGGTTTGGGGGTGGCTGGGTAAGAAAATTAGGGTCACAATGCCCAGTTGTGCAGTTAGCTGCATTCGAGCCCACTACCCCCCACCTTCAGAAGAAGAGCACTTCACTGGCTTCAAAGACCAGTAAACTTTACATTTTCAATTTATCTAAAAAAAAAGGACATGGTGCACTGTTCATGTTTTAAATAAAATCTCTGTCTATATATATATACATACATATATTAATTTTGGATTACATATGTCATTATTCTTGACCCAAGATTAAATGAACTTGTTTGGGTATCTTGTGCACAGTTCATCTATCAGTGCCTCTTTATCAGCATCAGGTTGCCCTGCAGCTAGAGATTCCGGGATCCCTCGAGCGAATTGTTCACGTATTTGCCTGGCTTCTGCTTTTTGTATGACAAGATATTTTGTTATGTCTATGAGTTCCTTTACATAATCTGGAATACAATTAGCAAGAATAAATGTATATACTAGTATGTATGAATATGTACACATTGGACATGTAAATGAATGCACGCATCTGCAAAACAAATACTGTTTACTGTGTTAAAATGTCAAAGAAATAACTTGACATCTGTTTAAATAAAGGTTTGCTTTTATCAGAAACATGTCTTACCATATGTAGGTGGTTCTAGGATGGTCCTTACAACAGGCCTTCCTTGTTGAGCCCTGGAATACGAAAGGCTCCATTCTAACTCCCCGCCCTGGTTCACAGCAGCAGCCCTGCCTGCATTTTCATTGTAGTGCAATACAGCAAGCAGCAGTCTAAAAGTGAATATGTACACAATATATTTCCAAAGTCTATTAACTTTACAAGGACAAAAATAATAAATGAGGCATAAAATTTCAAATTCAATTTTCATGAAGCAAAATTCCTTCCTATCATCAAAATAAAATAAATCTTACTGAAATTGATATTCTTATAAAATTTACCTGCTGTGCATTCCTGCGTAATGAAAATGTTTCATCTTTGGTGCAAAAAAATTTACAAGGCTATGAAACCCTTCCAAAGATGATGTTTGGCCCACTGGAGATGCCCTAGATATATCCTTCTCCAGCCCTTTACGCTCCAGAACAGCAACAAGTTCTTCAAATTCTTGCATACCTGTAAAATAATGCATATTTGTAAAATACGTATTATAATCTATGCCCTTCATTCATGAATTAATTCAAGAATTTGTAAAGCAATGATAACTGAAATTAGTAGAATGCGGTTCACTCACCAGGTGTAAGCCAAAGTTTTGGTGGCAGATCTCCGTGTAGGCATTGAGGAAATCGAGGATCATCATGCACATGTATATCAGCTATATGGTTGTGTAGACTTCTCCACAATATAACTGCAAGTTCACCATCGCCGCCTGCATAAGTCACACTCCAATACAAATGGTTGATGATGGCCCCAATCCACTGCTTTACATCTTCATATTTTTTCCCAAGGGGGACCAATTGCTTCTTCAAACCTAAAATACAAAAGTTCATAGTGAAATACACAATTTGTTAAATTGATTGTCAATCTGTTGGAAAGAAGAGTGACAAAATGATGAAAATTTTATTACTAATAAGATGTGAATGACAAGAAAATTACTAGTATATATTTTAAGTTAATTACTTTTTGCTATGTGCCAGATATCAAAGTAGTGGGTAACCATTCTCCAGTTATCGCGTATCCACTTATTTATCTGGGGGTGTCTATCCGTAACCAGCGTTAAGCTTACTGGCTGTTTAACAGACAAAAGTTTAGTTCTACACCTCCTCAGTCCTTCGAGTTCCATATGATAGGAACTGGCCACCTCGTTTTTCTTATAAAAGGAAAAATAAACAAATAAATAAAACTTTATGGCATATTACTACTTCCAAGTATTTAAGTGAGTAAACAGTTTTCACTAATTCTTGTCTATTTAACAAAGAAACTGGTTTCATTGCAATTGGAATTCTAATTTTTTAACAGAAAATTTTCTAAATAGAATTGTGCAAGTTATTGCTGTCCCTGCTATCTCAAGAATTCATTTAAGAAAATCAATTCCTTCAAATGTGATAGGCAGAAAATAATTAACTTTACCAATAAATAACAAAGGGTATACCTGGATCATTTCCATTGCAATGATTTTGTTACGCTTTATGTCCAAAAAACTATATGCACCATACTTGGCTGTGTGCCCCATACTGTCACACCTGGCATCCCCACCCAAGAGAAGATCATCTGATGCCCCTTCTAACAATGCAGCCTGCTTACGATCCCACAACGTTCTTACAGCACCATGTAAATATTTTTTTTGGTGATCATAGAATGTTGAAGGATTGTAAGCTTGAAGACCCATGAACTGGAACATTCTTAGCACCTGGGTCACAGTGCTGCCAGAATATAAAATGGCTGATGACAAGTAGAGGTTCCCAGCTGGCATGTGTCCTATGAAAGGCTGTGAGTACCAGGTTGCACCTTGGCACTTTTTTGAGGTGCAGGACTGCCTCACTACAATCATAGTGCCAATCTGCTTTATGATGGTGGGAACTGCATCTCTTCGGCAAAGCTGGCAAATTGCGAGAAGCTGAAGCAAGAGGCTTTTATATACTATCACTTTTGCCTCAGGATCTAGGATTTCTTTCAACTTCTTTGGTTTCCTGGTAAAAAAATCAAAACAAATATACTGAAAATGTATTCTATTACTATTTTCCACATTTTATAAATTACTACCACTTAACAAAGAAAAAAATGCCCTGTAAATATTCATTACTTACTGTTGTGGTGAGCTGTCATCACTACTTTCTGATGGCATATAATAATCATCAGATTCACTGTCAGATGATGCTGATGAAGATAAAAGATCTTCATCTCGACTTCTTTGATCTATAAAGAAAAGTATAAAAAGATTGATAAAAGAAGCATACAAAGATTGATAAAATTGATATAAAAAAGAGCGAGAGAATGGATATTGCTGTTACTGCTGAACAATTTGCATTAGCACCTGCCATTTTTTTCTTCTTTTTTTTTTTTTGGGGGGGGGGGGGACTGACCCATGTACACTAACCTGTTTCTTCCACTGTTGCACTATTATCACCTGCAATATTCTCAGCTTCAACCTTTTTCTCTGACATTTTCTCTATTTCTAGCACTGAAATATAAACATGAGAAATAAGGGATTGTTTTATGAAATATACCTCCCAAATTCATGAACAATCTTATTCAGCAGTTATTATATTTCTATAAATAATATCTAATTATCACTTATAACAAAGATATGTAAGTGGCATATTAGCAGAATATATTTACTTGTTAAGTCTGTCTGTGAGGCAGTTGAAATAAACTGACGCTGGCCAAAGACCTCTGGGAATTCAAAAGAATCTGCCTCCCTGGTGCTGGTTTCTGAAGCAGTGGCTTTTGGTCTGTCCTTTGAAAGTTTTTTTTTCAGCTGCAAAGAAACTGAGCTATTTAATATCATAAATGAACAAAGCAAATGTAAAAAATAAAACTATATTTACTTTCAAGGTGCATTACATAAAGGGGACATTTTTTCTGTTAAAATGCTGTTACTAGCCAAGGGCTAAACATTAATCATTGCATAACAGAGTAATAATCCTAGTCTAATCATATTACTTCTTGCTACATGATAAAAAGATTAATATTTTAATCCAATGAAAAAACGTAGTGACATCAAAGGCATACCCGTGCAACCTGGAGTTTTTGGACAGTCTTTTCCCTGCTGGCTTTTTTCACAGGTAAGTGCAGGCTTTCGTCTGCCTCTTCACCGACTTGAACGATTCTCTTATGCGGGCGGATAGTGGGCACCGCCCCAGGCTTCAGTCTTGGTAACCTGAAAGCGCAAAAATGTATTACAGTCGGTAAACCTAGAACATGAACAAGCACATACCACATTGCAGGAATGCATGACACGCCAGTTTCGGAGTTAGCTGGCTTCCGTCGATAGTTACGATCAAAACTTTGGGAGCTTTAGCGCAAATATGCTGCACAAAATAGCCTCACCATGTTACTAATTAATAACTTACTCAAAAATAGATGAACGCATAAAGAACCAAGCAGTAATTTTTTTATTAAAATGAAAACAAAACGAAAACGCGAAGTTAGCTCATTGACTCAATACCTACCCGTAGGGATCGGCTCTAAACTCCGAAATCACTGACATATCGCTATAAATACGTCGCGACTCGGGGTAACCGTACTTAGAAAATTAAAAATGTTACAAGTCTCAAACGAAAGTGTTAAATTAAGATAAAAATGACCAAAATTATGAACTTACTGCGCAAAACCAAGCCGAATCTTCATTTGTTGTCCTTCGTCGAAACACGCCTCCTCGAAATGCGCGCTACAGATAGCAGAGTTGTTTGCCACAGCTACTTTCGCGTCTAAGTCCCACACTCGTGTTAAATTTACAAACTTTTTCCACTTCTGGGCTACTGTTAGGTCTTTTGGAAATGTGTGCATCGAAATGCCTTCATTTTCACTTGTGTTCGAGCACCCGCCGACAATGCAACGTTTCACCATGTTTACTGTGTCTCAGAACTAACAAGTTATCTAAGCGGGGCCCCGTCTGAGGGGTTCCCTTCATGACGTCACGAATATTTCGCGGGAAAGCGCTGCACGCTCAATTAACATTGATTGGGGAATTTGTGAGCATTCATTTTAAGTTCATTTGTTTTGATTAACATCGTGTTAGATGTCTGGAACTTAAAATACGGGTAGAAACACCTACCAAGTTGCACTTTAAGCCTGTTAACAGTCTCCTTATTGAACTAATTCGATACGTAAAAATTTTTTTGATATTTTCTGCACCTTAACAATATTGTTAGTTGATTATATAAAAATGATGGTCAAGAATGGAAATTAATTCATATCATTGCAGTTTGTCAGATTCAATCATTCACTATGTTCAGAATCTCAGAATGGATCAAATTGGACATTTAAAACTGTTCTTTTGATATTTTTTCTATCTCAACCTCTCAACCTTTTTTTTAGTTGATCATATAAAAATGACAGTAAATTGATGACTTTGTTTTAGTAATTGTCCCTTGGGAAATCACTAGCTAAGTTCAGGGGTATGAAGTCACTTGCCCAATTAATTTCCAAGTGGCCATTAATGAGATTACATAAAACACGTGTTGAAATTT